ACAGAAACTGAATTTGGGCCAAAGCTCAAACAATAACCACATGGACCAAAACCACACGACCGTGTACCTTGAACCACACGGCCGTGTGACATGTCTTGTAGTAGCGGAACTATACGACCATGTACCATGAACCACATGGTCATGTATACTGAAGAGTACGTAGTAACACAGACTACACGATCATGTACAATGAACTACACGACTGTGTACCAACTCGGTCACCGATTCAAAGCATATTTCTTACATCAACAATACAAGAACATCATCCAAAAGAAACCGAGGAATACTAGGTGTTATTTATTTTTATTATCCTCTCTTCTTCATAATTATTGTCTCTACTAGCATTTGGAGTATTTAGTTAAAGAAGATGCACCAAACATAAAGTATATAGGTTCGACCTAACCATAATGTAAGTTAACCTTATAACAAATTACACACATTATTTGTCCTGACCAGGCAACAAATTAGACAGATCTGACCAACACACTACCAAAATCTACCATACTAGATAATTGTCACTAAATTGAACTCTATATCTTGCTTAATTAACTTATGTATCGTACAACCTACGTGGCATAATACTATGATGTGGATCCAAATAATATTAAGATTTTTTTCTTAAAAAAAAATTTCACATTAATAAAGATACTGTTAAGTACAAATCATATATGCATATGTTGGGAGGTAGAATCTACATCATAATTTAATTTAGTTTGATTAAATCCTTAAACTTTGGGGTTGATCATGTGCTATTGTCTCCCATGTAATTAATCTCTATGATAATCTTCCCACCTCCACTTTTATTTTTATAGTAATTATAATTAGGACATCATCTTGTATTGTTTGTGATAGCCGTCTACTTGTCTCTCACTTTAATGGCATTAATCTTGTCTTATATTGATTGACACCATTCACGGACTTCCTAGCTACTTAGGCTTTGATTAATCATTATAAATTTGCTTTCTTCTTTCTCTCTCCTCCTAACATGATCTAATAATAAAATCTAGAGGTGGACATGCATATAGGTTGGGCTGGCATGAGGGCTAATTAGGTATGAAACAAAGAAATTGACCCGACGTGTCATGAGCTTGTCAGAAGCCTGAGACGCCACGAAAGGCACACCAATGGGCCATATTTCATGCATGGACATCATTTATAAAGTTGGCATAAGCTCAACATGAGCATGACGGGTCAACTCGCATGTCCCAAATTACCAACAATATCAAAATTACTCAAGGGGCAATTGACCTCACACGACATATCCCGTGGACTAGGCCATGCATGAGCTTTAGTTTATAGTGATTGACACAAACTCAACAAGACACATTATTTTTTTGGCCCGTTTTAGGCATAATTCACTTGAGCATGCATGGGACACGTTGATATGAAACATGAGCCTACATGATTCGTACCCATTTTAATATAATCACAACTCGTAAATTAATTTAAGAGAATTGTATTTTATATGTAGTATTTATTACTTGGGGTTGCTAAAAACTATTGAAAATAAGTATAGATAAAATGTCATAAAATGCATATACGACATTTTATCTAGCCACTCGCTTTAAGTATAATTTGTCTATTGCCCTAAGCCCCTAACCTTAGTGTATTTTACCTTTTCCAAAACAAACTTTTTTTTTTTAGTTTGTCTATCAAACACCACATAATAATTCCTTAAATGTAAAAGAGAAAGAGCAAATGCTTTATTAATAGATTATTTTAGTATAGGCTGGAAGAGAAGTCATTACACATGGCCTAAGTAACTCCACCCAACATCCAACTTATTGGCTACATTCTAACATAGATATCAAATAAGGTGGAGCCACAACACTCCTCCATTTGAGGGTCTACCTACTTAAGTGATGGAATTTTCTGTCATATGTAGACTATATTAAGACTACTTCAACGTCAATTTAACGTTGTAATCGCATTACCAATTTTTATAAGTTTTGGTTTAATAGTTCAAAACATTTGCCCATTAGGTAATAAATAAAAAGTTCTCATTTCTCTCTTTTTTTTTTTTTTTTTTTTTTTTTCCCTCCGGTTTACATCTTCATGCTAGCTGGCTAACTCAGCTCGTCTAAGATAGTTAGTGAATCGACAAAAATATAGTATAATTTTTTATAATATTTTATCAGTTATATATCCAACTTATCTAAACTTATATGTAAACTAGAGAGAAATCGACTTTCGACATGATTCAAATTTTTTTAGAGAAGTGACAATTTGCATCACTACAAAACTGTTCAAAAGCTATTGAACTAACCTTTGACAATTTTGAATTAATAAAAAGATAGTCAATCCTGTTATATTATCTAGAAGGCAAATTAAAGTTGCATAAGATGTAACATACTGCCTATATATGTGCCAAAGTCTCAACAAAAGTAGAGTAATGCCAATTTGTATGTGGTAACTTCCAAATACCTGATTAGTTGAGTTTGAGTAAGTACTAGGGGTGAAAGTGAATCGGTGTAAAACCGAACCGAATCGAAAAACCGAACCGAATAAGGAATGTGGTTCGGTTTTTTGGGAGGGTGGTTCGGTTTCGGTGTCAAAAATAAAAAAAATTCGATTTTCGGTTCGGTTTCGGTTCGGGAAATTGAAAAACCAAACAAAACCGAACCAAACTGAATTATAAGCCCAATCCTACAAAACCCCTGCCTGGCCCAAAACTAAATACCCTAGGTATATAATGAAAAAATAAAAAAACCCTAATTCCTCTAATCCTCTCATTCTTTCTCCACTCTTTCGTCCTCTCTCCTGTCTGACTGTCTCCTCTGAGTCTCCGACCACCGTCCAGTACACCAGGGCACCAGGCGACCACCGTCAACGGTCCACCTGCTTCTCTCTCTCCTGTCTTCTCCTACTAATTAAGGTATGAAATATGCAATTTGCGAATTCAATTTGCGATTTTAATCGTTGCTCTACTTACTTGCTCTCTCCTGTCTTCTCCTACTAAAGTACTAAATACTAATCGTTGCTACTGCATGTTCAATTGTGAATTGCGATTTTAATTTGCGATTTTAACTTGCGATTTTACTTGCTACATTTTAATTTGTGAAGAATATGGCAATTGGTGATGCTAAAATTGATGAAGTGGTCGAAATACTTGAGTGATTGCTCTGTGCTGCTACTGCTGTGTTGATCTGCTGCCACTGCTGTGTTGATCTGCTGCTACTGGCCTACTGTGTTGCTGTTCTGCTGGCTGCTGCTACTGTTCTGCTGTTCTGTTGCTACTGTTCTGCTGTTCTGTTGCTACTGCTTTGCTGCCTGCTGGATCGATCTATTCTGCTGGCTGCTGCTATTGTTCTGCTGTTCTGCTGGCTGTAATGTTGTTGAATGTTGATCATGTTATGTTTAACTTAAGTAGTTCTGTTAAAACTTGTTTAATTTGAGTTTGTATGGATTGATTGGTTTGATTTGATACTTTGTTAGTTTGTTATTTAAACTGAAAACTTAAGTTTGTATGATTTGGATTGGTTTGTAGACTTTGTACTTTGTATGAATTGGACTAAATTTGTTTGCTGTTATATTTGTTAATTTGCACTGCTTGCTGTGTTAGTGAGAATAGTGACTTAGTGTGTTGATTAATGAGGCCCAATTTGCAGATTATTGGCCCAAATAAAAGAGGCCCAAAAAAATCGGTTTGGTTCGGTTTTTTATTCTGAAACCGAAATAAATATGGTTCGGTTTGGTTCGGTTTCTAAAGTAAAGTGGTGCGGTGTGGTTTCTAAAATCAAGAAACCGAATTAAGGTGGTTCGGTTTCGGTTTGGGCCAAAAACCAAACCGAACACCGAACTTTCACCCCTAGTAAGTACTAATACAGGATAACAAATACTAAAAGATTGAAAAGCACGTAAGGGTGAGAGAAAGGAGGAGAGAGATGGATAAGTGGCACCACTTTTAAATGCACCATTGAATTCTTATATAATACCTTTGATTATGTAGTGATATTATTTCTACACATAGTTAGTACCACTAAATGAATATATAGTACCACTATATACATACATAGTGTCATTGAATGTTCAATGGTACTATTTGATTATCCTGTGATACTATTAATCACTCAATGGTACTACTCTAAATTCAGAAATGCATTTACGTAAAATGACCCATGTCCCTCGTTATGCATTTACTCATACCTCACTAACCTCCCTTTGGAAGGTCTCGAGTTTGAGTAGCATTTATAATTTGAGTTTAGTTTACTACTTTTGCTTTTCAAGTGCTACCGCGTTATATCATTTTTTTTTCGTTCCTTTAATTAATTAATTTCTACAATAATAATCTACTTTCAACATAATAAGACATACTGGACTACAATTCTACAAACATCTCAATCAAGTATTCAATTAAGTGAACTTTAAGATTAGATCATTGGGATGAAGTGATACATAAATTATGCATGCAGCATAGTTATTATATTAATTACCTACATTATGCTTACAAATAAATAATTTTCTTCAACTAACTCTACATTGGTGTATATATTGTATGGGATGTTACCGGCTAGACGGCTATCAATACACATGGTCTAGACATATGGGCTAGATCCTTCTATTTGGACCCTGTTTACTGTCGGTCTTAGCATATCGACCTAATATTATCATCCACGTGAAAGCTACTTTCGACCACATGGACACTTGCCACCCACTTACCTAAACCCCTATGTTCGTGACACATGTTTGGTTGTCTAAGATATTTTGTAAATACCCCATCACATTAATAAATTAATATTAAAGGCGAATATTAAATGACACATGTCATTTAATATATAAAATAAAGAGATAATCTTCTTTTTTAATATAGGAAATTACATGTTGATATAAAACAAATCTAAAGTAGAAAAAAAAACTTTCCACAAATAAACAATATATAAAAATTTCTAATCAATTAAAAAGAAAATGAATGCTATTATCATTTTGTTTAAAATAAAATATTAGGTAAACTAATTTCTTCTTTTTTGTTTGGTTAAAAGGGGCAAATTAGATTAGATATGTGTCATTAAGGCATTATGTTCATATAAATCAGCTGTAGAAGTAGTAGCAACTAATAGAGTATAAGCATTATAAGTTAACTTAATCGGATTACATAATAAATTGTCTAGGCAAAGTACATCCTTGTTATTCTAATCATAAAATGCAGCTTCCTTCAGGCTCCACACAACATCATGCTCTCTAAGCACCTGTCCAAAGATGGGCCTAAGTGACCCTCTCTCTTTGGAGACACTGAAAAGTCTTCACCCCCATCCTTTGCATAATTTCCCTGCATTTGGAAGTCAAGTTACTATAAGAATCTCTTATCCTTGTTAAGCCAAAGCACACCAGAAACAGATGTGTTAGAATCTGTAAATATAGACATCCAGCCATAGATTAAGCTCAATCCAGGCACCTGCTATCATTGCTCCCATAATCTCAGCAGCATTTGCATCAATGATTGTGAATTTACAAAGACAACCCACCAGCCAAACATGCTGGTTAGAATAGCAGAAAATCCCAACCACTGCCACAAGGCAATTAGGATTGAAGGTTGCATCAACAAAGATATTAGTGGAAGACAGAGAGAAGGGAGTTAAAAGCTTTGCATTTGGGTCAGGAGGAATGTGAATTGTCTGAGCATAATGGAACTCAGCACAATTCCACTTAATAGCTTTCAAGGCAGAATCAGCAGTAGAATTTTCTTTTTTGAACACCCAAGAGTTTCTTCTCTTCCAGATTATCCAACAAGCAAAACCAAACCAAGAAGGCTAGGGAATACCATCTATGGTAGTAGTTGAATTCAAATTGAGGATAGCCAATCCTTGAACCCTTGATCAGTGGGCCAAGGAGGGTGAGCAAGCTTATCCCAGATCTCCTGAGCTTTAGGACAGTAAGCTAGGACATGAGATGGGATTCAGCCACAATTTGGCAGAAGGCGCATGAAGGGGGGAATCCATGCCTCTTTTGTGAATAGCTTCTCTTATGGGGAGGGCATCCCAACAAGCTTTCCAGAGGAATGATCAGATCCTAGGAGATACAGGAGCATCCCAGACTAGGGGCCAAACATCAGATTGGATAACATAATGAGATTGTTGTAGCCAAATAGAGTTGTATATGGAAATTACATTGAAAGATTTCCCACTGGCTTAGGAACAGATTAGCTGATTAGAGATATTAGAGAAGATTTTGATTGAGGCAAGCTTAAGAGTGACATCAGGAGGTAGAGAGAAAGAAATAGAAGAGAAATCCTTTTGGCCATTAGCTCTAACTTGACTAACAGTCCTTACATCTTCTTCAGGGGTAAGAGGACCTTGAATAAGATGTCTGAGAGGTCCCAGGGGACTCCAACTATCATGCTAAAAAGAGAGGACGTAATTATCACCCACTGCCCAACATGTAGTTTTAGTAAAGATCTCTCAACCCTTACCAATATCCTGCCAGATGTGAGAGCCATTTTTGAAGCTCGCAGGTTAAGCTCTATTGTGGATGTATTTCCAATAGATAATTTTCAGAAGCCAAGTTAGAGGATGAGTGAATCTCCCATGCTGTTTTGGCCATTGAGATAGCATTGGTGATGTGGGGTGACCTAATTCCCAAACCATTATAACTCTTAGGCCCAGTTATTTTCTTCTAAGAAATAAACCATTGGAAGTTTGTGGTGATCAGGAGTAGAACCCCAAAAGAAATCTTTGGTACATTTTTCAATATTTGATAGCAAAGATTTATGCATTGCTATGGATTGCATAGCGTAGAGAGGGATTTCATTCAAGGTGGAGTTAAATAGGACTAATCTACCAGCTTTAGAGAGGTAGTTAGTCTTCTACTTAGAGTGTCTCCTTTGATCTTTCTGGATGATTCGAGCGAGGGAAGATTTAGATGGCCTTTTACCACATAGAAGGAAACCCAAGTAAGTACCAAGATCAGGGGTAGTAGTGACATTGAATAAATCAGAGATATGAACTTTAAGCTCTTCAGAGGAGTTAGGAGAGAAATAAAGCTTTCTCTTAGCAGCATTCATCTTTAAGACGGAGAGGGAATGAAAGGCATTCAGAACATGGAGCGTAGCAGAAGTTGTAGCAGTAGATGCCTCTCCAAACAGAAGAATATCATCAACAAATAAGAGGTGAGAGATTTGGAGAGAGGAGTTGGATATTGAAAAGGGCTTCCAAAGACTAGAAGAGCAAGCATCATTGGGTCAGAGAAAAGCGCCATGCATAGAATAAAGAGGTAAGGAGACAAAGGATCTCCTTGTCTGATCCCTCTAGAAGGGTTGAAAAGGGGGGGTTAAGTTCCCATTAAACTTAACAGCAGTTGAGGTAGATGAAACACAACTCATGATGAGTTTAATTTAGTGAGCATCTAATCCATGATAAACTAAAGCCCTATGAATGAAGTCCTATTCAAGGGTGTCATAAGCTTTTTCAAGATTTATCTTGATTGCTAGAAAACCCTTTGATCATTTCTTCACTCTCATGGAGTGAAGAATTTCTGATGCAACAATGTAGTTCACCTCAGTTCCCCTTCTAGGAAGGAAGATGTTTTGATTAGGAGAGATCATTGAGTTTGGGCCTCAATCTATGCACCAGAATTTTTGAAACTACTTTGTAAGTAGTGGTACAAAGACTTATTGGCTTAAACTGCTTTATAGTGGAAGGGGAATCCACCTTTGGGATAAGGCTAATGACAGTTTTATTTAGCTTAGGAGGTATTTTTCCAGAAGAGAAGATAGAGGAGATTTGATTAAAAAGGTCATCCTTGATGAGATGCTAGTGCTTTTGGAGGAATAAAGCATGGAAACCATCTCACCCTGGTGCTTTTAATGCACCAATTTTGAAGACAGCAAATCTGATTTTTTCAAGAGAAGGAAGGGCGGCTAGAGAGAGGTCACCCTCAAGTCTGACCCATTGAATTATAGATTTAGTTAAGGAAAACAGATTCTGAAAATTAAATACTCTTTAACATGATTTTGCAGATGGATTGGATCAGATATAGATTCTCCCACCTCATTATCAAGAGAGGTAATCCTATTTTTAGCTCTTTTCATGATCACAGCCATGTGAAAGAACTTAGAGTTTCTGTCTCCACTTTGTAATCATCCCTCTCTAGCTCCAGTGCTCCAATAAATCTCTTCTTGATCAGGAATGGAGTTTAGTTCCTGTTGTAGAGTTTCCTCAAAATTCCATAAATAGAGATTATAAGGAGATTGCTTTAGGCTGAATTGGATTCCTTTCAATCTAGCCAGAAGCCTTTTTTTCTTGTGGAAAGATTGCCAGAGAAATCTTTAGCCCAAGAAGAGATGGAAGTGGAAAGAGAGTTAACTTTTTCATGGAATGGAATTGGGAGATCAGGCTAGGCTTGGTTAAGAAAGGCAGGGAAGGAAGGCTCACAATACCACAAAGGCTCAAAGGTGAAAGGTTTGGGAATCGATGGTGGTGGAGAAGGGGGGTTGAGATAGAGAGAAGGACGGGACAATGATCAGATGAGCTTCGAGGTAAGTTTTGAACATTTGTCTGAGGCCAAAGGTGCATCCAAGCAGGATTAACTAAAGCTCTATCAAGCCTCTCCTTAATGGGCCTTCTTTTTTTACTTATTAGTCCAGGTAAACTTTAACCTCGAAGCCCCAATATCAATTAAGCCAAAATTATCTATAGATTCAGAGAAAGAAAGACATCTAGCCATAGAAACAGGATTACCCCCAAGCTTCTCAGACTAATAAGCAATATCAATTAAATCCCCCATAGCAACCCAAGGTAAGGACATAGTATCAACAATAACTTTAATAGAAGACCACATGGCTTTTCTAGCTCTTAATTTAGTGCTAACATAGATACCAGAGAAAAAAAAGGAAAAGTCAGATGCTTTTACCTTAATGATACCATGAATGGTATACATGTCAGTGGCAACCGAGGTGAAATCAATGATGCTGGAGTGCCAAAGTAAAGCCAGCCCACCAGAGAGGCCACGAGCTTCAGCAATGTGACGCTCATCAAAGGGCGGCCTCTCCAAGCAACCAATAGTGTTGAAGAGAGAGCTACAGAGCTCAATAAGAAGAACCATGGAAGGATGATGAGTGCGGATCAAATGCAATAATAAGTTCTTGCTGAAGCCCTTATGAGCTATCCCTCTTGAATTCCAGGTGAGTATCATTATATCGGAGGGAATAGGGGGTGTAGATACTTGATTGTGGCTTCCCAAAAACTAAACTCAGTGATGAGTACCTTTCACGTCTTTGATTTACGAGTTCAGTAAAGAGTTGAAGAGTCTCGTGAAGTTCCCTTAAGCCTTGACCATATTTCTAACTTTTCCTAAAATATTTTTTCCAAAACCATTCATTTTGTGTCCCTACAAAACCCAAAATCATTCATTTCGTGTCCTAAAAATCATTCATTTTGTACCCAACTCACAAAAACGTCCCAACCAGATTATTTTGGTCCATAATCCTAGTCCAATTATTTCTTATCTGGATGGGTTTTTAAAGGAGCTTTCCAACGATATATTATAAGCCCTAATCCAACTTAAAATGAATAAGTTATGGCCAAAATATTAAACCGAGCCCAAACCGGACCTAGGTCCACCTTACCTACGACCCAATGATCATGTGAGGGTCCGAATACCTTCCTAATCCTAAACCAATTAGGATTCCTTAGGAGCTTCTAGAAGTCTCTAGAAGGTTCTAATTTAAACTTTTCGAAAAGATAATGATCAAAAGAGTTCGAAAATCGAATAGAACTTCTCATATGATAATTCTTATCCCGTCCAAATTAAAAAACATATGGATATATTTCGTTAACCCAATTCTATTGGAAATCAAATTCCGTACGACCTTTTTATCTTTAGAATCATCGCAGGACGATAGAACCAGCGAGCCGTGATACGCCTGTCACCCCGCGATACGAGCTGTTCTATTCCGATTCGAATTCTGATCTTTTCTGATCGTCCAGGCTCTCTTTTTCTCTTATAAATTGAGGTCGTTTTCTTCGTTTTCAAATCAGCTAGAACCATCAATCATAAGCCACAATTAGCTAGCTTCACAACTATCATCAATCATCATCATCAAATATCTATGTTCTTAGCCTTAGCCTAAACATATCCTTGATATTCTCCCAATCAGTCACAATACCTCATTCACGAGATTCGAATACTCTTGACGTTGCCTTCGACCTCGACGTGAAAGGTTGATAGTTCTGAGGGTTTGGTCCCAATCTATATTTCAATTCATATTTGATTTAGTTACTTTATTAATTTAACATTCTTGAAGTTTACTTACGTGTGTATTGTTTTAATAGCAAGAAGGTTGAGGCATCAAAGTGAGTAATTCAATTAACCTCTTAATTATTCTTTGATTTTGGAGTAGAAATCAAGTTTACAATATTATTTTAATTCCTAGTATCATGTTTAGGATGTTTTTATGATTTCTAGTATCATGTTTAGGATAATGCTTTGTTTTCGTTATTAGTGACATGCTAGGAGTTGTTATTAATCCGTTTAAAATCATGCCTAGGATCTTACTACTAACGATGTTTTGATGATGTTCTTATTACGATGATGATTGTTATATTAATCATATGTTGCTTGATTATTCATGATTTATTGTTATTTCTTGGTCACGCCCCTTTTTGCAGGTTTAAAGAGAATTTGTACTTGAAATCACGCCTAATAAGATAATTAATAATTTGATTTTAGGTTAATATGATTTTAATTCAGGTGATCACCAATGATAGATTTGATTGTGCATTAATAATCAACCAATGTAGATTAAACATGTTTAGGATTAACTTAATGTATGTATGTTGATTGAAAAGCGCACATGAATATCATAAGAATTGAGTAGAGGCCTATTTAGGGCGTGTTCAATCTCTTTTAGGTTGGATTAGTACCATCATCCCCGAACATCCAGTCATGGTTCCGGACCACTGTGGAGTTAGCGATCTCTGTGATCGTGAATGGGGTGTAACCTTCACACCCGTGAATGGTTTACAAGTTCCTAAAACTTGTTGGCGACTCTTTTTCTCTAGCTTCTTTTCCTTGGAACGCCGTCATGCCTAAAAGCATGAACCACAGTAAGGCACAAGGAGTTGAAAATTCTTTACGGGGGGGTAGCTGTGCAGCTCCTTCCTGGCTTCGAAGGTCAGTTCCTCCCCTAGTACCACAACTCTGAATTTTATTCTCTAGCAGATGGGGTCTATATCCCTTGGACGGATGGTGACATCCATGTACTGGGTCTTGTTGGGATTTTTTCCTGTAAAAACCTTCAACTCTATCTGCTTGAATAGAGTCTGGGTTTTGAGTAAAGCTACAGCTAGAGCTTGAATTTCTATGTGCATCTTGGTAGGAGTGGAGGTCAATGTATAAATCTCCCTCGATTGAGGCAAGATGGGCACTGGATCTGCCAAGTACAAGAAGTCGCCCCCCGGCAGAACCTCCTTTGCTGCCTGTGGCAAGTGAGAGAGGTATTCCTCCACCTCTAAGGCGATCTGTGGTGAGATGCCTTGCAGATCTTAGATAATTGGCAGGTGACCAGGATGCACCTCTTCTTCTCCTTCGAGTTTGTAGCACAGATCATCGAAAGGAGGGTTGACTAGATGGGGGTTTAGGTAGAATTTCCTAAGCAGGAACGGTTCCACTTTGATTCTTGTCATTGGAGCTTGAATAAAATAGATCACTTCGTATGTTCCACTTCCATCCAAGTGAGCATGGGTTTCTCCCGGAAGTAAATTAAAGCATAGATGGGCATGACCCCTTCAAGGATGTTGAAATCGCCGAGGGAGGGTTAAAAGGTGGGTGTTGGAAATGTTGAACATGTTGCGATTCGCCCACAGATTCAGATGTCGCAGCTTGGAGAACTTGGGTTATGGATTGTTGCAGAGGAGGTAAGTTGGACGATGTCGCAGGTTGGGGAGATTAAGGGTGGTCCATTGTTGCTAGAATGTCTTGGAAAGGAGGGCAGATGGATGAGAGACAGAATGGATAATGTAAAAGATTTGGTAGGGTTTTGAACTAAAGATAGAATTCAGGGCTGAGATTTTTTGGGTTGAAATGAATGGTCAGGATCTTTTGATTGAAGGAATGGCTGGGGAGAAGCCACGTCATTACAAAAAATCACATGCTTGATTTGCAAGTGAAAGTTGACCATTGTCTGAAGACATAGGACGATACACCTTTTTTGCTTTTTTTTTTTAAATTTATTTGCTTTTTCTGGGAAACCAGTTCCCAACCAAGCTCTATATCATCACGTCCTGTCACCTCTGTGGCTTGATGGCTAGTACAGGGCGTCGGCCTCTTGCACTTGACTTGAATATGCCCAATGTTGTTGGAATTTTTGCAAAATTTCGAGAATTCTTCCCACTGTAAACACTAGATGAAAAATGGTCTTAAGCACCGGTTCAAATCCCCCATTGCGCACCGGTTTTGAACCGGTCCAGATTTGAGGGATGTCAAATTTCTGAAGATTTCGCACCGGTTCAAAACCGGTGGCAATTTAAAGATTTAACACCTGTTAACCAGTGCGGAATACACTTTTTGGCACTGGTTAACCGGTGCTAAAAGGTCATGGCGCACTTTTTTTTTTCAATACAATTGGCACCAGTTTGAAGCCTGAACTGGTGCCTTTAACTGCGTTTTTTTGTTTTTTTTTCGGCAATAAATAATAATATTAATACTAATAATAATAAAAAAAAACATGTACATCCTGCATTAATAATTCTACCATTATTATAATATATTATACAAAAATAATAATTATAATTATTATTTTATTATTATAATATTAAAAATAATAATAATAACAATAATTTCTAAATTGAAATAATAAAAATAATGCTCCTAGATATTAATTAATAATCCCAAATGCAATACAATGAAGGGTCATATATATTTACAATTCCTCAAAAAAAAAAAAAAAGTGTCATATTTACAAACAATACTCATTAATAATGTAGTTAAAAAGTTAAAAAATATAAATTCCAATAGAAATGACATTTACAAATTAAAGGTGATGAAAAACGCCAACATGTCTCGAACTTCATTAAGTTCCTTGCTTGTCAACGGACCTCCCTTTTGTACCTTGCAAAACTTGGAACAAACAAAAATTATGTTATAATTAATTACTTAGGTTATGCATGTAAAAATACATTTACAAGTTCACTTAGGCAAAAATTTATTACTTAGGCCTATAATATGACTACTACTTCGCCTATTTTCTACATTTTTTATCAAATAAAATCATTCTTTCTCATAACATCTCAACATTACTTAGTTACAGGCGGCTAAGACTTGAAATCACATGAAAAGAGCAAATGTCAAGGGTTTTAGGACGCATTTTCATCCAAAATGGCCCAAATAAGGCCTATTTGACTACTAGGATGCCTATTTCCTACATTTCTTATCAAATGAACTCATTCTTTCTCATAAAATGTCAATATTACTTAGTTATAGGCGGCTAAGGCTTGAAATCACATGAAAAGAGCAATTCAAGTGTTTAAGGACGCATTTTGATCCAAAATGGCCCAAATAAGGCCTATATGACTACTAGGATGCCTATTTCCTACATTTCTTGTCAAATCAACTCATTGTTACTCATAACATGTCATTATTACTTAGTGATAGGCGGCTAAGGCTTGAAATCACATGAATAGAGCAATTCAAGTGTTTTAGGACGTATTTTGATCCAAAATGGCCCAAATAAGGCCTATATGACTACTAGGATGCCTATTTCCTACATTTCTTGTCAAATCAACTCATTGTTACTCATAACATGTCATTATTACTTAGTTATAGGCGGCTAAGGCTTGAAATCACATGAAAAGAGCAATTCAAGTGTTTAAGGACGCATTTTGATCCAAAATGGCCCAAATAAGGCCTATATGACTACTAGGATGCCTATTTCCTACATTTCTTATCAAATGAACTCATTCTTTCTCATAATATGTTAACATTACTATATTCATCATTCTTGTATTCCTCGTCCACACGAATCTCATTGCTTCTATCATGCACATCATTCCCATCAACATCCCCACTATACTCTCCTTTTTCACCGTGCCAAATCCACACATGGTATTTAAGCCTAAACCCGCGATAAATTACATGATCTCTAATGATTTCAACACTATTGACCACCTTCACATTATTACAATAAACACAAGGATAATAGAGGCAATCGACAC